GCTCTCCTGCCCTAGATGGCCACTTTCCTGTGCCTAGTGCGGAGATCGTGGACGAGGTCCACGATGTCCGCACTAGCCCAGGAATGTACCCGCCTCTTGCGGTCCCGGGCAAGCTTCCGGGAGCCGCCAGCCTGGTCCCGGGAAGAGGGGGTGGGCTGGGGGACATCGGGTGGGTGGCTCTGTGCCGTGCCAGGTGCAGGGTCTGCTGGCTGGGTGCTGGCAGGCTTGCACCTGGCACGGGCACCGTAGCCAGCCCGTGCCCCTTTAAGGGGTCCGGGGCCGGGAGGGGGGCAATAGAGTTGGCCAGAATGTTCGAACTAACATTGTAGTGTAGACATACCCTCACAGAAATAGCAAAATGTCTTGTGGGCTTTAGTAAGTCTCTGGCTCTCTTCCTTAGAGGGGATGAATCTCAATTTGGGGTTGAGATTTTGTTTTTTATAGTTTGGATTTTATTATTTTACAATTTGGTTTGTTTAGTTAGTTTGGCTGGTTCATTGCAGGGAAGTGTTTTGATGGCTTAGAGTTATTTATTTATTTATTTATTTATAGTTAGCTGGTCTTTTTGCTTTGTTTGCTGGGCTGGGCTTTTTTGGAGGGAGGGATGCATCAGTGCGGTGAGCGTCAAAACCATTTGCAAAAACCGAGAGCTGGCTGCTGGTAGATTTGCACTTCACTCTGGCCAGTTTCTACTTGCTGCTTTTCTTTCTTTGTCACACAACAAAGCTCTATATTTTCTTATTGTCTGTCATCGCTTGTTGTCGAACTGTTTTACCATACAACGGCCACGCTTTGTTAATGAGCTTCCTGGCTCACTGAACCACAGGGGAAAAATTGCCCACGTATATTTGTAATGTACATCTCAATATATCTCCTTATTTTTCTTTCTCTCTTGTCTTCTGCGTATCATCTTAGCCGATTTGTCAGAAAAAAAAAGAAAATTTAAGGCACATTTCTAGATTTATGTCTGTACATTACGGCAAACACTGATACATGTGCTGACTGTGAGTAATCTCATTGACCTAAAGCGAGTACAGTTGTGCCCTGGCGTACGAATTTGCCTGAAATTGTATGTGTGAAGGGTATGTGGGCCAGAGGGTCTGGCTCAGCTGGACAGAGTGGAGGGGAGCTCCAGAAAGCAGGTGGGCAGACTTAGTGGCATGACCAGCACACCAGGGGACACCTCAAAAGGGATTCCTGTGATCCAACTCATCACAGTGTGGTTTCCCATAAAGTTAGGCACATATTTAGATAAGTTATTGTACTCTCTGGATAAGCTCTGTGTACCCCGAGAGTCATCTGAACCGTAAGAGATTTAGAGGATTAGCTGGGATAGGTCTCTGGCATGCTTTGGGTTATGATTCTGCAGTTCTCACTCAGGCAAAATTCTACATCACTGGGACTTTTGCTTAATGAAGCAACAGGCTATAACACAAAGTTTGGAAATAGGGCTGGAAAAATCGGACTGAAACATCTGATTCAAAGACCTGTTTCATTCTTGGATTGCGTTGGGCTAGAAACACTGTCTGCAGTGGTTTATCTGTTTTTGTTTTCAGCTGAACTGGACTCAAAACTCCAAGGGAGGCCTAAGTAGTGCAGAGCGGAAGAATGACGACTCATGTCTTCTTCACAAAATGCCTGTTAATGCATCCCAGAATCACGTTTGCTTTTTTTGCATCTGTGTCATACTGTTGACTCATATTTAGTTTGTCGTCCACTATGACCCTAAAACCCGTTGCAGCAGGACTCCTTCTAGACAGTCACTTCCCATTCTGTATGTGTGACACAGATTGTTCCTTCCTAAGTGAGGCACTTGGCATTTGTCTTTATTGAATTATATCCTATTGAGCTCAGACCATTTCTCCAATTTGTCCTGATCATTTTGAATTATGACCCTATCCTCCAAAGCAGCTGCAACCCCTCCGAGTGTGGTATCATCTGCAAACTTGACTATGTGAACTTCATACATTTATGACAGATCATGAATCTTAAAGCTTAGTTCTGCTTTCTGGTGTACTCCAAGCTCTCCTCTACTTCAGTGGGACTTGGGGGGCAGAAGGAATCTAGGATCAAATCTCCTTTGTTAAACAATCCTATTTAAAAGTTCGATCTTATGCTCATAGAAGTCAAGGACAAAGCTCCCACAGACAAGAATGATGCGGGATGTGGGGATAACAAAACAAGTAATTCGCAATAATAACCAAGAAGAAAGCTATTTCTTTAAATAAGTGGTAACAAAAAAGATTTGGAGACAGATACATTTACAACAAGGTGTATTTTAAGCCCAACCACTTCACACTTTAGTAATAAATAAGTCAGAATTTCACTTTCATTTTTTCCTCTTGTACAGCGCTTTTTAAAAAACCCTATAAATAAATTGGTCAGACCACGTCAGTTAAAAAAGGAATTTTCATTTATTATACCTCACTGCTGCATATTCAGTCTGAAACAGAAAAAGAAGATACCAGATATTAATAGTCTTAATGTGAATCTATAACTTCATACATTGGGCTAATACCATTTTTTAGATAACAAGACAGGAAACCAAATTCTGTTCTTACTCTCAGTGATATAAAAGTGAAGTAACCCCTCTGAAATCAATGGAGTTACTTCATGTGTAGAGGGCAGAATTTTCTGTAGAGGTGTTTTATAGACAAAAGGTTTGATATGGATCTAATCTGTGCTGGTGTAAATCCCCACTAACTTCACTGAAGTCAGTGGGGTATTACTAATGACAGAAAAGCATGACCCCAAAGATTGCAGTAGTAACCATGAACTAAATTCTCATCTCACTTACTGCAGGACAGTCCCTGGGACTGGACTAGTATCGGGGCATCTGTTTCAAGAATCTGTCCTTAGAACAATTCTATTCTAAATTCCTATTTTCTATTTGCAAAATTTCCTATTTGCAAAATTCCTAGAAGGATTAAATATTTTAACGCTAGACTGGGCCTCAGTTTGATTTAAAAAAAAAAAAATTTGCTGGCCATCAGTTGCCCTGCTTTTGAATTATGAGACACCAGTGTGGATATGAGTAACTCCATTAATGCCGATGCGGAGTAACTTTTGATTTATACCCGTGGAATTCAAAGCAACATTTGGATGTGTATAATCATGTGTTCAGATTTTTTTTCCTAGTCCATGTAAAACTCATAAAGAGACCTATCAAGTACTGCATCATCCAGCAGTGATGGGTATCTACCTTGGACATGTAGTAACATGGTTGAAACCTTTCTAGTCCGGCACTTCCTGTTCTGGGTAAATCCATGGTCCGGCATGATTGTAGTTAGCCAGATGTTCACTTATTGTGGGTGTGGCCAAGTTTTCTGCAGTTCCATAAAGTTTGTTTACAGCCACCGGACCTATCTGCCATGATTCTGTGCTGTTCTTTAGCTCTAATATTTATCACTAAATGTCTTCTAAGGGCCCAGTAAGTGCTGGTAATGCTGCTAGACAATATTGACCTCCTGTGGTCCGGCAAATTCTCTGGGTCAGCTCCAGCCAGGACCCGAGCGTGCTGCACTATAGATGTTCAACCTGTACAATAGGAATGCTACACTGGCAACCCAACAAAGTATAAAAAACAATGAGTGCTCCTGTAGCACCGTAGAGACTGACAAAAGAATGGGCACAACCCACCTCTTCATCTGAAGGTTTCTTTAAGATACAGACTCACAGGGCTACCCCTCTGAAATCCTACAAAGCCGTATCAGTTAGTTGGAATGTGGACACCAGTGCTGGAATTTGCCCAGGAGAACTACTCAAATGCCCTGTTAATTGGTTGTATCTTTCTGACGTGCCTGTAGCTGAAAAAAACACTTTACCTGTGGAATCTGCCTCATGGGCATTTGGTTCCCTGTTTTCACAGTTCTCCCTGCTGGAGAAGAAGGAAAGGACGGTTACAGGAATGCGATGAAGGGCTGCTGTGTAACAGTTAGAGTTATAAACAAGTTACCTCTGGTGAGACGTTTCCTGAAGAGCAGGATCATCATCTGGATGATGACAAGGATGAAAATACAAAGCAGGCCAAAATATAACACATAATCACAGTATTCTTTTCCAGGCTCATCTGCAGAGAGAGGAGAATAACATTCGGTGCTGAGCAGTGGAAAAATCCCATTAAAAGGCGTGGGGTCCATGTCAGCTGCATGCCATGCCCAGAAGTGAGACCTTTCCTTCAAAATCCACTGCCTCAAGGCATTGTCACTCTCCCCACCTGGAAGTGGCTTTTCGGGGGCCATATGAATGTTTGGCGCTGGATTCAGGCCACTGATCATCTGAGGTAAGCTAAGTGTGTGTATTTATTAATTCTGCCTGTCTGCACTGTCAATTATTTTACCACAAGTGGTGATTTATTTCAGCTTGAGAATTACAGATCCAGTCTGAGAATCGCTGTCCCACTGAGGTCTGTGGTGAGTTAAACGGATTTAGAATGAAAATCGGTTTAGGGAACATCGTAGCATCATAAATGTTAGAGAGAGCAAAGGCCTTTTAAAGGTCTCATGGAGTTCACTTCCCTCCCTAGTCCCTACAGTGTAACCCAGGAGTGAGGAACCATTTTGGGTTGGGAACCGTTGACCCAGAGAAAGATCGGTCGGAGCTGCCCAAAAGTGAGAAGTGAAGCAAAACAAAAACAAAATAATCACTGACATGGCCCCCGACTGAGAATCAGAAAAAAAATTCCCCTTGCACCGCAGAGCGTATGAGGGCCCAGGCTAGTACATTTTGTTGAGGAAAAGCCTTCAGGCAGTGCTTTGCTGTGCCAGCCGGGGGCCCTTCAGGCAGTGCCATGGATAGGAACTAGCTCTGGCTTGCGAGTCCAGTGCCTGAGGCTCAGGGGTGTTCAGCATAAAAAGATATTATTTTTTGGTGTTCCGTGGTCTCAAAAAGTTTAAGAAACACTGTTCTAGGTGGGTTTTTTTATACCTCGTCCCTACTCTACCTCATTTTAGTTCTTTGGCACTGCAGTAACCCTTTAAATCGGTATATTTGCCCTGACTTGAGGTGACGTTTGCACCAGACACCATGGCAATGAGCACAGTGTAAACGAGAGAGCAGGTTAGATAGGGTACGATACGGGACCTGTTTGCTTGACCATGGTAGCACTGATGTTTCTCCCCGTACTATTGTCTTTGACTGTAAAATTCCAGATTGTCTCCTGGTTCCACCTCTTGTATGGGATTGTCATGAGGCTCCAGACGCTGTAGATCCCGTCCCCGTCTATGGCTCCGGAATCTGTCTGGCCCACTGATGCCCCCTCCCCTGTGTCCCAGAGAACGTTGCTCCAGGAGGGAGTGGAATCCGAGAGCAGGAAGAGCAGGGGTACGTTCTGGCGATGTTCAGCATCCTTCTGGGTGGAGGGCACCAGGACAGAAAGTCTTGGCTCAGAGGCATCTAAAAGAGTCAGAAACAAGAGATTGGAAAGACATACCAGTTATAGCATAGCTGGTCCCTTTTCCCCCAACTCCTGCCCCTGCCCGTGGATACATTATCTTGTGCATTGGCTAGTCTAGTCTCCATGTTTTAAATAATGGGACTTCCCTTGCATGAAGGTGGAGTTCGCTTATTAATTTCATCCTGTTACACTCCTTTGTCCACCGCTCCTGGATGGTCTGAGTTCTGGGTGCCTGCTGAGGGCAGAGACTCAAAAATCAGACCCCTCTTTACTGCATCCTAGTCGCATATTCAACTCCTGCTGCCCTGTTCGAGGTTTCCCCGTGCAAGCCACCAGGTGGCAATCATTTCAGGAAGCTCAACGAAGGTCTCGTAAAGAGCTAGATTAATACAGGCGCATAAGGCCAGGAGGAAGACACATCACGCCCCAGACTCAGGTGGCTGTGACGAGGCAAAACCAGGGAGCACGAGTAGCAGAAGGCCAGAGAAGAATAATGACTCACAAAAACATGCCTCTAACCAGTGGATAGATCTCAAAACACTCTGCAAAGGCGAGTGAAACTCATTACCCACTTTAGTAGCAGCCTGCTGGGCGACCAGCACAGCAGGATGACAAAGTAGTTTTCCTGATTCACAGTCTCATACGACATCCACTACCGGGATCATTTTCCCTCTCGGCATGAACGCTGATGACTCAGAACCAAAATGGGGCTTTAAGTGGTTGGTGGGTAAGAGTCCAAGGTTCTGTCTTGGCACCAGGGCTATAGCCAGGATGGGGCAGCCATCCAGTGCACAGAGATGCAGAGGGCGGAAAAATGGGCAGAAAGGAAAGATCAGATAAGAACATAAGAACGACCATACTGGGTCAGACCAAAGGTCCATCCAGCCCGGTATCCTGTCTGCTGACAGTGGCCAATGCCAGGTGCCCAAGAGGGAGTGAACCGAACATGTAATGATCAGCGATCTCTCTTCTTCCATCCATTTCCACCCTCTGACAAACAGAAGCTAGGGACACCATTCCTTACCCATCCTGGCTAATAGCCATTAATGGACTTAACCTCAGTGAATGTATCTAGTTCTCTTTTAAACGCTGTTTTAGTCCTAGCCTTCACAACCTCCTGAGGCAAGGAGTTCCAGAGGTTGACTGTGTGCTGAGTGAAGAAAAACTTCCTTTTATTTGTTTTAAACCCGCTGCCCATTCATTTCATTTGGTGACCCCTAGTTCTTATATTATGGGAACAAGTAAATAACTTTTCCTTATTCACTCATGATTTTATAGACCTCTATCATATCCCTCATTAGTTTCCTTTTTTCCAATCTGAAAAGTCCTAGTCTCTTTAATTGCTCCTCATATGGGGCCCGTTCCAAACCCCTCATCATTTTAGTTGCCCTTCTCTGAACCTTTTCTAATGCCAGTATGTCATTTTGGTATGAGACCACCACATCTGTACACAATATTCAAGATGTGGGTGTACCATGGATTTATATAATGGCAATAAGATATTCTCCATCTTATTCTCTATCCAGTTTTTAAGGATTCCGAATATCCTGTTTGCTTTTTTGACTGTCGCTGCACACTGCGTGGATCGGTGGATGTCTTCAGAGACTCGAAGAATTTTGATATGAGACCACCACATCTGTACACAATATTCAAGATGTGGGCATACCATAGTTTTATACAGGGGCAGTAAGATATTCTGTGTCTTATTTTCTATCCCTTCTTAATCATTCCTAGCATCCTATTTGCCTTTTTGACCGTCGCTGCACACTGTATGGAAGTTTTCAGAGAACTATCCACAATAACTCCAAGATCTCTTTCCTGATTTGTCATAGCCAAATTAACCCTCATCACACTGTAAGTGTAGTTGGGGTTATTTTTCCCCGATGTGCATTACTTTACACTTATCCACAATAAATTTCATTTGCCATTTTGTTGCCCAATCACTCAGTTTGGTGAGATCTTCTTGGAGTCCCTCACAGTCTGCTTCTGTCTTGACTATCCTAAACAGTTTGGTATCATCCGCAAACTTTACCACCTCACTGCTTACCCCTTTCTCCAGATATTTATGTAAGAGCCTTTGGTGAGGGACCTTGTCAAAGGCTTTCTGGAAATCTAAGTACACTATGTCTACTGGATCCCCCTTATCCACATGTTTGTTGACCCCTTCAAAGAACTCTAAGGGTATGTCTACACTTGCCCCCTAATTCGAAGTAGGGAGGCAAATGAAGCATACCGAAGTTGCAAATCAAGCCCAGGATTTAAATATCCTGCGCTTGATTTGCATGTTCCCGGCTGGTCACCATTTTAGGAATTCACTAGCCCGGAGTAACTGCCCCCGTCTACATGCGGCAGTGAAACGGAAGTCCAATGTAAAACCCTAACTCGAATTAGCTGGTATTCCTTCTGCAATGAGGTTTACTAGCTAATTCGAATTAGTGGCTTTAAATCGGACTCCCGTTTCACTGCCGCGTGTACACTCTGGCAGTTACTCCGGGCTAGTGAATTTCTAAAATGGCGACCGGCCGGGAACTTGCAAATCAAGCGTGGGTTATTTAAATCCCTACTTGATTTGCAACTTCAGTATGCTTCATTTGCCTCCCTACTTCGAAGTAGGGGGCAAGTGTAGACATACCCTAACAGTTTAGTGAGACCTGATTTCCCTGTACTGAAACCATGTTGGCTTTTGCCCAACAAATTGTGTTCTTCTATGTTCCTGACTATTTCATTCTTTACTATTGCTTCCACTACTTTGCCCGGTAGTGATGTTAGACTTACTGGTCTGTAATTGCCGGGATCACTTCTAGAGCCCTTTTTAAATATTGGCATTATGTTAGCTGTCTTTCAGTCACTGGGTACAGAGGCTTATTTACAGGATAGGTTCCAAACCATAGTTAATAGTTGTGCAATTTCACATTTGAGGCCTTTCAGAACTCTTGGGTGAATGCCATCTGGTCCCGGTGGCTTGTTACTGTTCAGTTTATCAATTAATTCCAAAGCCTCCTCTAATGACACTTCAGCTCCCTCCTGGTCCATCAGCTCGGTCCCCACTAGGGTCCAAAAGGTTCCGCCAAGCTCTCCAGGGACCTTCAAGGTCTCCCCATACCAGCCTTGGAAGCTTCCCTTTGACCAGAGCTCTGGGCTTCCCAGGTGCCTCCCCTCCCTTACATGCTCTGCACCTGCCCCGAGCCACCCTTGTGCTTTCCCTCCCCTGCAGGCCCCTGACCCTTTGTCCAAGAGTCCTGGAGTGGGTCCTGGCTCCCCCCAGCTTTCAGGCACCCCTGGTGAGCTCACTACTGGAGCAGCCCCAGCCAGCACAGTGCCGCTACTCCACTCTGGAAACTGGGCACAGGCTGGTGCCAGGGGTTCGCTCATGGACTGGGCCAGCGGCAGGGCTGGTTCATGGGGATCTGGGTTTGGAAGCTCGGCTCAGCCCTGCAGCTGTTTTTTTCCCCAGGGGAGCCTGGCTGGGAGAGTCTCAGGGGCAGACAGATTGAGAGAAATAAGAATCAGCCGAGCTCCACTGGCCCCAACACGGCTCCCTGTGGCTCGCCATTCAAAGGGGGACTGCTCTTGGGGATCAGGCCCGGAGACAATGGCAGGGGCGTTCCCTCGCCAATCCAGCCACCAAGAGGAGACAGCAACTCCAGTAGGACTCAGCCAACGGGGGCTAAAATGCCTAGCTCCAGCTCTGCTCGAACCCCTCAGACCTCCGGAATGACTTTTTCCCAACCCACTGGACACTCACCTGTGACAATTAGTCGGGTCCCACTCCCGAAGTTCGCATATGCATAAGCAGCTAGGCCACAGTAATACACCCCGGAGTCGTTTCTTTGTGCATCTGTGATAATCAGAGAAAACGTGTCCGATGCCTCATTCACCTCACTCGAGTATTTTCCATCTGAAGGTGCATTCTTATAACTCTGGAAAATCCCATGCAGACTTCCATTCTGAAGCTCTTTGTACCAATATACATATGCTCTCCTGGTTGAGAGCTTACAGTCTATCCGTGCAGATTTTCCAGGGGCCAATACAATCTGGGCCGGGCTCTGTTGGATCCACATCCCTTCCTGTGAAGCAGTCACTGTAAAGACAAATGCACAAAAACCACAAATACAATAATCACTTGTAGGAGATTCACCTTTTGCAATATATTCAATATAACACATCCAATGTAAGCAAACCCCTGTTATTTTAAAAATTGGAGGTTGGTGAACCTTTTTTTTTTTTAGTTCTTTATTTTCTTTACCTTCTTATATATAGTTAAAACAGATGTTGCTAAATATTTTTCTGGCATAGTATTTTTGCCATGTTGTTAGGTGCCGCATAGCTGTAACGTAAACAATAATCACTCAGTATGTATAGAAACTAATCAATCCCTTTGCACATTTACATCGATCTCTCCTCAATGTACTTAACACAATTAATTAAGCCTCACAGCCATACTAATAAATAATACTTATTGTGACCTGACATACTGATATTATTAGGACCGGATGGAAATTAGCATTCTTATATCCATAACTATAATCCCCCTCCCCAAAAAAGCAGACCACTTCCTCTCTGGTCACCGTAATAATATTTGGTACTTGGATCCTGTCACACAGTATTCAGAGTGCTTTACAGATGTGAATAAGCTACACCTCACAATGTTCCTGTGAGATGGTGAAATATTATCCCCGTGTACAGATGAAGAAACTGTCACAGGTAAATGAAGAGGCTTAGCCGTGGTCCCTCATATCAGTGATACGACTGTGAATAAAACCCAGATGTCCTAGATGGCATAGTAACCTCGAATCAGAGTTAAAAACAATAAAATTAATGTTATTTGATCAAAATCTTGCCCGGAAGGAAGTGCTTTATTTTCTCAGACATTCAGGCTTAAAATTGTCTTTTTGATTACTTTAAACAAGTACTGCCCCATGATGCCTACATAAAATACACGAGCTTAAGAGAAAACTGGATTTTGACCAACAGCCCGTTCCAGTATCCAAAAGGTGAAACTGTGTGCAAGGGGTTTTTAGCTCAACACATTATTTCATTCTCTCTCTCTCAGGATTTTAGTTGGTGAATAACATAAGACTGTTTAGCTCTCCCCATCAGTCCCTCTTGCTGTTACCCGCAGTTCAGAAGACCTTTGCACATGAAAATACTTTTTTGTAGCAAGGTAAAGGACAATCATGAAATACCAGGCTAAAATACTTACTCTGAAGACAGACTAGAATCATCCCAACGATCTGGTAGGACATTTTCTGGCTTTCTTCAGTCATGATGCTCTGAGAATGGTAGAAACCTGCTAGCAAATGGATCTCTTGATGAAAGACTTTATCACGTGGAGAGGAGGATGTCATATTTCCTCTTAAAGTTCTGTGGGGGCAACATGCCTGACAAAAGAGAGGGCCAGGAGATATTAACAAACCCATTTGAAATCTGACTCTGTCAACCAGCAGGGCAAACCAGGGGAATCATATTCAGTTGCCTGTAAAATTCATTAAACTACAAATTCCAGGTCTGACTCTGTGACAACAGAGTGTGTATTTCAAATGGAATCTTTCATCTCATAATTGGACGGATGGAACAAGCCCGACTTTGAACCGAAATGTACTTGGATTATTTTCTGTTCTTCAGGGTTTCAGACCGTCATATGTATTTGGGGGATGTTAGCCCCAATAAAGAGGATAAGGTGTGTCGCTATGTCCAGGCAGATTCTTCCTGCTATTTTAACAAAGGATAGAGGAAATCATTGAAGAGGCTTGTTGTAGCCTACGGAAGTGGAGGAAATGTAAAAAATACCTCACCTTGTTTAACTATTATCATAAGCGAAATAAATGTTTTGGGAAGAGGCTTTGGAGGAAAGGAATGAATGGGTCTAGAAAATGGAAACGTGGTAGCGTAACTCCAGTTGAGAAACAAACTAATTGTGGGTCACATAGCTCTCTACGTATTGCGTGTTCCTGGCAATAACATTCAAAATTATGTAGAGAGAAAAAGATCTGAAACACAAACTGCGATATTCCAGTTCCTTTGTTGTAAACCCTTTTCGGTTGTGTATTCAGAAACCTGGCCATCTTCCCTATTTGAATACTTTAAAAATCGTCTGGAAATCATGTCTCCTTGCTGTCAATCTCTGTGGGAAGTTGAATGCAGTATGGCACCAAAAGCCACACACACCTCATTAGCCCATGTCCCTTTTATGAAACGAAGGCTATTTCAACACCCAGGAAAGTCAGCAGACAGCTGCTACAGATTGTCTTTCTTTTGTTGTGGTGCATAGAAATGTGAAACGTTAATAGAAAGTAGCTTTGGAAGGTTAATAGGCAACTTTACATTTTAAAAACACTTGGTGTGTTTTACATTTTAGGTGATCAATCTAATTGGCACTTGGCTTCGATATTCTTTTTTTTTTTTAATGCAGCTATTTGATTGTTTATGGATGGCCTAAAGCTATACGACATGCTGAGAACGTAATGTATTTGCCAAGTTCCTCATAAATAGAGGAATCTAAATATTTTATAAAAATAACTTCAGAACTTTTCTCACCTAGCTAACCACCTGTACGTTGAATTCCATCCCAATGGGACCTGCAGAGATACTATTCCCTAAACACCAAATATCAGGCAATGTAGAGACCACTTTATCTACTTTATATTATTTATTTATTTATTTATTTATTTATTTATTTGTTACTTCTGTAGTATTTTAGATATTTATGGCACAAGTATGGTAATGATGTGATGCGCATATGAAATTCCAGTCAATCAAACCAATAATCTCTGCTATAATTGTAAAAAAGAAGCAATTCATGCATCTTGGCCGGGTTATATGGGAGAATATTGTGCTCTACCTGATCCTCATTCTCTCCTTTCATGGCACTAAATCTACCTATTTGTATTTAAAATAAAAATCATCAGACTTCAATAAAACCATAGAATGCCCCATGGCTACTATTTATCTGCTGGGTCGCTATTAATCAAGCTAACGGAAATGGAGAGTTATTTTATTCAGTTGCATTTCTTTTGTATCAAATTTATCTTCACTTAATGAAAGTCCATTGGATATTACATTTTAAGAGAAAGTTTAAAGCTATTATTGGCATTAGAAATTTTTTTCTGTTATAAAAAGTCCCTAACCCGCGGTCCAAACTGTTGTGACCAGTTTTAGAAAGGCCGGCTGGAATAGCTGAATGTTTAGGAGTGCATTCTTACATTTGATACACAGGAATCTGCTATGCAAAACCCCTTTGTTAGAATATCTCAGCCAAACAGAAGGGATTATTGTGTTTTTAATTAGCCAGCGTGTTGGCTGCAGCTAATAAATATGCTCTTCCATCCAAAGGGGTCCTTCCAGGAAAGAAAAGGACTAATTCCACATCTCATTTCTTCTACTTTTGAAAAATTGACTCGTGTGCACTTGGGACACGCTTTGAAGCATGTCCCTATAGTATAAAAATTAATGACAGGCCACAGTCCAGAATTTTTAACAGACATCAGTCATCTGTTTCCAGGTTTTATCATGCCACTCACAGCTGCTCTATCTGAGTACCTGACGTGTAGAAGTAACAGAAATAGCAAAATCTCTTGTGGGCTTTAGTAAGTCTTTGGCTCTCCTCCCTAGTGGGGATAATTCTCGATTTGGGGTTGGGATTTTATTTTTTATAGTTTAGATTTTATTATTTTACATGTTGGTTTGTTTAGTTAGTTAGGCTGGTTTGTTTCAGGGAAGTGTTTTGATGGCTTAGGGGGTTTTTTGTTTTTGTTTTTGTAGTTAGCTGGTCTTTTTTGCTTTGCTTCTTTGTTGGTTTGGGCTTTTTTGGAGGCAGCAGGGTGTCAGTGCGGTGAGCGTCAAAACTGTTTGCAAAAGCTGAGAGCTGGCTGCTGGGAGATTTGCACCTTCCTGTGGCCAGTTTCTACTTGTTGCTCTTGTTTTATCACCCAACAAAGCCCTTTATTTTCTTGTTGTCTGTGATCACTTGTTGTCGAACAGTTTTATCACACAAAGGCCAGCCTTTGTTAATGAGTTTCCTGGCTCACTGAACCGCAGGGGAAAAAATAGCGTACATGTTTTTGTAATGATCATCTAAATATATCTTCTTATTTTTCTTTCTCCCTTATCTTCTGCATATCATCTTAGTCCATGTGTGCAAAAAAAAATGCATTTGTAGATTTATGGCCATAGTCCACGTGTGCTGACTGTGAGTAATCTCATTGAGATTCTTAAAGTGAATACAGTTGTGCCCTGGCATAGGTATTTGCCTGAAATTGTGTGTGTGAAGGTATGTGGGCCATATCATGCCTTCCATGAAAAGACAGAAAAACAAGGTACAATAGCTTTTTGCATTCTCTGTCCCCTATGACAATGGCTCTAAATCTTTTCAGGCTGCTGCACTCCATTGAGAAGTCTGACTTACCTTGCGTACCCCCAAGTTTCACGTCACTTAAAACCGACTTGCTTACAAAATCAGACATAAAAATACAAGTGTCACAACACACTGTTACTGAACAATGCAGACTTTCTTATTTTTCACCATATAATTATAAAATTATAGTTTGGAATATAAATACTGCCCTTACCAGAGATTTATCTGGCATTGCTCGGGTTCTTAACTCCAATAATTTTTGTTTTTCTTCACTTAAATAATTTTTCTGGGGTGGGGCCATGGATGGGTGGTTCAGGTATAGGCTGCCTTCGAGAGAGAGGACAACCCCAGCCCTCTCTCACCATAGCGGTTTGGGACCAGGTGAGAAGCGGGCACAGGTAGGAGAGGGGTCCATGTCCCCATTTGGGGAACAGACAGACACACAGATAAACAGACAGACAAACTCTCTGAAATATATAACAGATAGCTGTCCCTTTCTCCACCTCTGCCCCCTGCTGGCCCGATGAGGTTATAGCTGTCCCAATCCCATCTCTGGATCTTTGCTGCTCCCTGTGGTCATTTTGCAGTACAACTGTCCCTTCTATCAGACCCCTCCCTTTGCATTTTATGAGAAACAATCAGATTCCAGGCACATTCCTTTATCCTGGCACAACCAAATCCTGACCTTGCTTTAAGTTATTATAAAAGGAAGCTGCATATTAAATTCGGTTGTCCTAGCTCTCGCTGTTTAGCAGGAATTCTTGAGTTTATAGATGGACGGACAGACACACAGACAAATGCACGAACCCTTTCAAATATATAGCATAGAAGTATAAACAAATCATTGTGTGAAATTTTACTTTCACTGACTTTGCTGGTGTTTTTTCTGCAGTTTTTATGTGGTTTACCCAATGTAAGTAATTGTTACCTGGGGTGGGGGAGGAGAGAGCAACCACCATGCATATCTCTCTTTCATTGATAAAGAGGGTGAACTTACAAGCTTTCTCTGTGTAAAATTTATTGGAGTTTTGATCTTCTTTGGGGCTGTGTTCCTGGGTGCTGTTAATAGCCTTAGAGCTGAGCCCTGCCAGAGCTGAGCTGGTTCAGCGTCTATGTTGCTGTGTTGGGGGACGGTAACCCCAACTCTGTGCCTTGGCTGGGGGAGACCAGAGGGTCTGGCCCAGCTGGACAGCATGGAAGGGAGCTCCAGAAAGCAGGGAGGCAACTCAGTGGCATGACCAGCACACCGAGTGACACCGCCAAGGGGACCCCCGTGATCCAACCCATCCCATTGTGGTTTGCTGTAAAACTAGGCACATATTTAGATGAGTTACTGTACCCTCTGGATAAGCTCTGTGTAACCTGAGAGTCATCTGAACCATAAGAGATTTGGAGGGTTAGCTGGGATCAGTCTCTGGCATGCATTGGGTTATAATTCTGCAGTTCTCACTCAGACAGAATTCTACGTCAGTGAGAATTTTGCCTAATGAAACAACAGGCTGCAACACAGAGATTGGAAATAGGGCTGAAAAAATCGGACCCAAACATCTGATCCCAAGAGTTGTTTCATTCTTGGTTTGTGCTGGGCCGGAAATACTGTCTGCAGTGGTTTATCTGTTTTTGTTTTCAGCTCAGAGCAGGGAGGCAGGAAATATTTTCTCTGTTGGCCTGTTCATTTCTCAACCCCTCTGTTCATTTCTCCTGGAGCACCTGGCATTGGCCACTGTTTGCAGACAAGACACTGGGCTAGATAGTCCTTTGGTGGGACCAAGTCTGGCCATTCTGATGTTCTTAACCAAAGGTTTTCAAGCCACAGGGTTGTTTCCATTTGGGTTTCGCTCTCTTTTAGTGCAAATCATTTATATGTCACCTGAATGTATCCCATCTAAATATTTCGTATTATTCGTACTGATGTAACAGAAGGGCTAACTTCTCTTTGCAGCCTGGGCATCTGGCTGCTTTTGCCCAAATGCAGCAGAGAGTTAGTCACAAAATGGGGTGTTTTTCCCCATTTTTGACACACTGTGGAAAAAAACGAAAACTTTTTGGGTTTTCAGCAAATAGTCAAATTTTTCCAAGCAAAGCAGCTGTTTTCAGCAAAAAACAAAAAAAAAATCATTCTGTTTCAGATCTGCATTTCCACTGAAAATGGTTGCCATGGAAAATCTCCCACCAGCCTCAAGGTTTTGCTGGGTTTTCACTAATCCAGTGTTCCTGAATAGCGCCAGTGTAAGAAACTCCCTTATCCACCTCGAGCTTGGTAGGAGACTTTGCCCTCCCTCTCAGGCAATAACTGGTCCTAGTGGCCCATGCATTCACCACCCACAGACCGGATTGTTGGGATCCAGGAGTGGAAATGAGAGCAACAAACTCCCCAGGATGCCGGGAGGGGATAGCTTGGCTCCCGTGGGAGGTGGGGCCTGTGCAGAAGGGGCGGGGCTGGAAGCTTGCCTCCGCCAGCCCTGCCTCCACCCACCGCCGAGGGCCATAGCACAAACAAGGAGGAAGATCAGGAATAATTGAAGAGACAGATAACAGGCAGAGGTTATGCCCACCCTGTGATGGGGAGCGGAGATGCTATAAGGCAGCAGCCCCAAAAGGGTTAAGACAAGGGGCAGTCACTTCCTCAGCTGCAGCTAAATGGCAGGTTTAACAACAGCTGGGATAATGGCCTGAGGTGGGGGGCAGCTGCCCGAGGGACTCTGGATATGTCCACACTCAAGGCACAGGGGGCCGGGCTATAAGATCTCAGTGAGGACACTTGAGTGGAGTCTGGATCTTCGCGCCTTGCTGGGACAGTGGAGGACCAAGGTCAGAGGAGAAGGCGGGACTGGGTCCCCCTCCCCTCGGGGAAGGCGGTGGAGCTGCTAGATTGGAGTGTCCAGACTTACTTGGCTTTTTGTTCCGGCTTTAATTTCCTTTGCTGAAGAAGGGAGCGAACAAACCCGTATAAGGCTGGCGTAGTGGGGGTGCTGTCACATTCAGTCTTCGCTGTAGTGGGCTGTGTATGTACCTTTACCTCAGCTCTCCCCACCCTTGCAGCACTCTCTGCATGGTGGGGGATGGGGGGGGAGGCTGAGCACGACTCATCCCAGAGGTGTATTGGGTCAGACACAGGCAATAACTCCTAGCCAGGAAGGGAAAAAGGAGAGGCAGGGCTGCACCAGGCCAGGGGGTAAGGCCTAGGTCAGTGGTCTCCAACCTTTTTACACCCAAGATCACTTTTTAAGTCTCAGAACAGGCGAAGATCTACTGCCCCGCCCCTTCCTTGAAGCCCCGCCTACATTACATGAGGAAATCTAATGTAAATGTACTGCGCAGGTGGGCAGTTCAGAGAGGGCTCAAGAGCTACTCTTGGAGCCCCTGAGATCTACCGGTAGATCGCGATCTACTGGTTGGTGACCACGGGCCTAGGTGAACTCAGTCTGCTCTGGGCTGGCAGGAGAGAGGAGGCTGGGAGCAGGGAAAAGGGGGTGCGGGGCCCAGAAGCCCTTCTCCCCAGGAGGAATAAAACTGTCTGCTCTCGGTGCCTGTGCTAACATCGATCCTATACTAGGCTGTGTCCCTGAGAACCAATACAACCTTCTACTCTACTGGCTGCGGATGGGGATGCGGGGTCAGGGACCCCCCGACGCGCCGTCACAAAGGCCACACCAGAAAGGGAGTAAGAGAAGACCTGAGACCAAGGCTGGATTCCTGGGACTGCTGACTGGAGACCCACCTGGGACCAGCCGCACTTTGGGGCAAGGTCCCTCCCAACCCCAGAAGCAGAGAGACTCGAGTGACCCGGCTGGAGTTCTGAAGTAATGTTCCATTCCAGAATGGACTACGAGAAACCGAGGAAGGGACGCCACGATGCTGCAATGGAGCACTGGAACCTCCTCATAAGAACGGCCGTATTAGGTCCGACCAACGGTCCATCCAACCCACGTTCCTGTCTGCCGACAGTGGCCAATACCAGATGCCCCAGAAGGAGGGACCACAACATGTAATCCTCACGTGATCCCTCCCCTGTCTCCCACTTCCAGACAAACAGAGGCTAGGGACACCATTCCTACCCATCCTGGCCAATGGCCATTGATGGACCTAACCTCCATGAATCTATTTAGCTCTTTTTTGAACCCTGTTAAAGTCCTAGCCTTCACCACATCCTCTGGCAAGGAGTTCCGGAGGCTGACTATGCGCTGAGTGAAGAAAAACTTCCTTTTGTTTGTTTTAAATCTGCTGCCTATTCATTTCATTTGGTGACCCTTAGGACTTGTATTGTGGGAGTAAGTAAATAACTTCTTTTTATTCACTTTTTCCACACCAGTCATGATTGTATAGAGCTTTAGCATATCCTCCCTTAGTCTCCTCTTTTCTAAGATGAAAGGTCAAGTCTTTTTAATCTCTCTTCATATGGGACCCGTTCCAAACCTCTCATCACTTTGTTGTCCTTTTCTGAACCTTTTCTAATGCCGATATACCTTTTTTGAGATGAGGCGACCACATCTGTATGCAGTATTCAAGATGTGGGTGTCCCATGGTTTTATATAAAGGCCACCAGTCACCTCCGTCAGGACACGTGCTGTGGTACAGGCAGCTCAGCCACTTCTCATAACACCCATGACACCTCTGCAGACTTGTCAATGTGATGCCAAAAAAGGCCCATCCCAGCACCGGTCCATGTGGATGTTCTGGGTGTGCAGAGGCGGAAGGATTCAACCCAACCTGCCAACGAAGAGGCTGGGTGACAGATGGCAAAGTGCAGCCTCTGGAAATACTTAAAAGGAGGCATTAGCTCTTTCATTGCAGACACAGGCTGCGGCGTTCTCTGTGGTGAATTAAGTGGCAAACGTCCTCCAAGCCTAGCCTCCAAACTAACATGGCCGGCCAGCGGTATCATGCTGTCAGGAAGTGCAGCAGACTGATGGCTGGGTGCAGGGACTGTCGTACCTCGGTGTTCTGCACCTCGGTACCTTCGGTGGTCTGAACTGTCTGTGTCAACGTCGTCTGGTCAGGGTCGTCCTGGCACGCTCCTGACAGGACCTCTACTCCGTCGGTAATGATAAACTTTCGGCTGCATGCGTAACAATCAGTACTCCCTTTATCTAGAGTGTTAGACACCGTGCACTTGGGTCTCAGAGATCTCTGAGAGGCCCCGGAAACAACAGATGCAGGCAAGGTTTGAAATCAGTCGAGCAGGTTTATTGTCAGGTGCGAAGCTCTACCAGTTGGTAGCAGAGATCAGTACAATGTTACACCACTGGGCACGATGGCCCACGTTGACAAGGTACCGACACCGGGCAGGCCTATTGCCATATAACAGATATTAACAGCAGTCAGTCAGAGTTAAGCAACTGTGCATTCTGTAAGTTTAGGCAATGACACCTGCCATTCAGGCGCCTAGCGTGTTACCCCCCCAGGTCGGCCAGAGAGCACCCTTTGCAGTGTCCTTTTATAGACAGGTACAGACAACTTACATCACTTCTTTACATACCAGGTTGCCACCCTCTGTTGCTTAGTTACCACTCCTTACCATACGGAAGGGGGGCTTACTTACTATCCCGGTCCTGAACCTAGGTCGGTATGTGCATTAGTTTTTGGGGAGTCTTTGTACCAAGACGTTTCTTATTAAGATATTCCGCTACTCCCCTTTGGCTCACAGTCTGTACCCAGTGCCTCCCTGTGTCCTTCCATGCTCTACCTAACTTACACAATTACACACTTATCAGTAGGGCCTCTTTCTTGGTTCCTGTGTTACTGAACCAAAGTCTTACTAGATGGCAGGCCTGTTGCTGTTTTCATGTTACAAGCCTCTATTTAGGCCTGCTGACTCCACGTTACTGACCCTCAACTTACTACAGGGACGAGCTCCCTTGTTTTTTCATGCCATGTGCCGGATGGACTGTAACTTGGAGCGGTGGCACATTAACCCACATTCTAGACTATTCTGACACTTTGGAAACCAACATCCTGTGCTGAATACAGGAGGGTATTTTTTTTATGTGGTGGCCTATATTTGGGTATTGACACAATCATTGTGAGGCCAATTTTCAAACGCATCAGAATTGAGGGCGTAAATCCTATAGAAACTCAATGGAACATGGGGTGCTTTTGAAATATAATGTATATGTATAATATAGAACAGCCCCACCTATGGGGAAGGCTCAAAGGGGCGGTTGTCCTAGGGCCCGGCAATTCAAAGGGGCCCAGGGCTTCGTCTGCTGCGATGGGTGGAGCTTTGGGCCTCTGAATGGAGCAGAGGGGCGGGGGTGCTGCAGCCTGGCGCAAAGCCACGCCCCTTCTCGGGATGTGGCGCCCCCCTCCCCATCTTGCCCCAGGGCCCGTGGTGGCTGTCAGCCCCGCTGCTGTAGTATATCACGGTCTGATATTAATTCATCAACAGTCTGCAAGAAACACAGCATCCCTTGTGGGTTCCTCCCCCCTCCTCAGTCAGTTGATAACTATCTACAGCACAGCACGCTCTTGTAGGTCGTGTCCTTCATCAGAAGTGACCCTTCGCTGAAGCAGCGTCTCAGGCTTTGGTCATGTTTTCTACAAATATGCTCTTTGCAAAGTACCTGATCTTCTCTTCCCTGGGTAAAACTCCTTATTGCTACCGGACTGCATTTCAGCAAATAGGACGCTGGGTTTCCGTGGTAGCTTAGGGGAGCTTTGCTGCAGTTTAGATGCACTTCCCTTTCTTTGTGCTCGCTTTATCATGGCTTCTAGTGGTCCAGCTGCAGTCACTTTGCAGGGCATACGTATTATCAGAGGAGATAAGTTTTATTCCTGAACTATTCCATTCGCCTATGGCAGAGAACGATGCAATGAAAGCGGACTCTAACGGCATAATCTGTTTTATCTCTGCAGTGTTGGGAGCACGGTTATCTCTGTACCAGACGCAGCGATTCCTGTTTGTCGAAATTAGTGCTACAGCAAAGATCCCCTGTTCTTCCGAAGAAAAATTGGAAGGGGGTGGCATTTCGGTGTATTGGTACAGGAGAAGGGCAGATGAAGGGCTCACCTGCATTAAGAAATGCTTAAATGATCAGAATGTAAGTAAGTTTGCTTGCAAAGCCGAGACGCACGGCCTGGCGCTAGAAATCTACAACGTCCAGCCGGATGAATCTGGGGACTATTACTGTGCAGTTAAATCCAGCAGCCATCTGATTTTCAACAATGGATCCACACTGATTGTTGGGGGTAAGGAAAGATAACAGTGTAATTCAAGGGGGAAAGAGATTGACAGTGCAGAGGTGTTTAAACACCCCAGGGAAATGGAACAATTTTCAAAGCTGAAATGGTTGAAAAGGGGAAAATAAGCTGAAAAATAATAATTAAATGAAACTGCTAAGTAGGAGATTCTTCATTTTTAGGGGACGCAATTCAAAATTTTCCTTTAATGATCAATGATGAAATAAAATAAAATAAAAATAATAATAATAGTAATAATAAATATATAATTAATTTGTGCCTTCCATCAACAGATCTCAAAGCATTTTAGTTTTACCCTCATTATTTATTGCTGCCAGATTGGGGATGGTTTTGACCTCACAACCACAAATGAATTTACCTTTTTCTTTTTGCAGAAATTTTTATTTTGAACGAATCCCCATTTCATGAGATTAATCATTGAATCATATGGCTGGAAGAGACCTCAAGAGGTCATCAAGTCCAGCTCCCTGCCCAAAGCAGGACCAATCCCAACTCAATCATCCCAGCCAGGGATTTGTCAAGCTGGGACTTCAAAACCTCAAGGGTGGCCATTTTTATTTTAATTAAGTGCTAATAATTTTGGTTGCCCCCCGCTGGACCCTCTCCAATGTGTCCACATCCTTTCTATAGTGGGGGGCCCAGAACTGGATACAATACTCCAGATGTGACCTCACCAGAGCCTAATAAAGGGGAATAATGACATCTCTGGATCTGCTGGCAATGCTCCTCCTAATGCAACCTAATATGCCATTAGCCTTCTTGCCTACAAGGCCACACTTTTGACTTATATCCATCTTCCCATCCACTGTAATCCCCGGGTCCTTTTCTGTCAAACTGCTATTTGACTTAGCCATTCAGTCCCCAGCCTGTAACAATGCTTGGGATTCTTCCATCCCAAGTGCAAGACTCTACACTTGTCCTTGTTGAACCTCATCAGATTACTTTTGGCCCGATCCTCTAATCTGTCTAGGTCACTTTGGACCCTATCCCTGCCCTCCAGCATATCTACCTCTCCCCCAGCTTAGTGTCACCTGCCAACTTGCTGAGGGTGCAATCCATCCCCTCATCCAGGTCATTAATAAAGATGTTGAACAAAACTGGCCCTAGAACCAATCCTTGGGGCACTCTGCTAGAAACCAACCACCAACCTTACATCAAGCCATTAATCACTACCCATTAGGCCCGACAGTCTAGCCAGCTTTCTATCCTTTTTACAGTCCATTTATCCAATCCATACTTCCTTAACTTGCTGACAAGAATATTGTGGGAGAAGATATCAAAACCTTTGCTAAAGTCAAGGTATATCACATCCACAGACTTTCCCATATCCACAGAGCCAGTTTCCTCATCATAGAAGGTAATCAAATTGTTCAGGCATGATTTGCCCTTGATGAATCCATGTTAATTATTCCTAATCACTTTTCCCTCTTCCAAGTGCTTAAAAATGGATTCCTTGATGATCCCCTCCATGATTTTTCCAGGGACTGAGGTAAGGCTGACTGGTCTGAAGTTCTCTGGATTGTCCTGCTTCCCTTTTTTAAAGATGGGTACTTCATTTGCCTTTTTCCAATCATCCAGGACTTCCCCCGATCTCCACATGTTTTCAAAGAAAATGGCCAATGGCTCTGTAATGGCATCTGCCAACTCCCTCAGCACCCTTGAATGCATTAGATCTTGCCTCATAGATTTGTGTATGTCTAGCTTTTCTAAATAGTTGATAGGTCTCCTTCCCATATTGAGTTGTCTAGTGCAGTAGTCTGGAAGCTGACCTTGTTCATGAAGATAGAGGCAAGGAACACACTGAGTACTTCAGCTTTCCCCACATCATCTGTCACTAGGTTACCTCCCTCATCTAGTAAAGGCCCCACACCCTCTCTGATCACCCTCTTATTGCTAACATGCCTGTAGAGACCTTTCTTGTTACCCTTCACATCGCTTGCTAGCTGCAAGTCCAGTTGTGCTTTCGCCTTCCTGATAACTCCCCTGCATTCTCAAGCAATATATTTATTTATTAATTATATTTATTAACATTCCTAAGGGCTGGTCAGTTTCACCAGTGTAATTGTATTGATTTCAGTAGACATGTACAATTGTAACAAAGTAAGATTGGTGCCCTTAATTAGATAATAAGCAGGTGGCAGGTCTGTTGTGAGTCAGACACAGGATGGAACAATAAATTCTCTGCTTTATTCTGCTCAGACAGCTACACCACCAGCAGCTGGGTTTTGCTTCTGGTTCCATCCCCACTTGGCCTCAACTCCCCTGGGATGTACTTCGGAAAGAACGCGGCTGCAGTCGTTCCATCCCCACTTGGCCTCAACTCCCCTGGGACGGCTGATCTGGCTTGTATTGTCCATGGAGTTTCCAACCCAGTCCAGATTTCCTGGAATATTTCTGGC